TGGGGCACCCAGGTATTTGAGTAAGCATTGCCGGGTCATTTGTAAGGGTATTTCTGAGAGACATGAGGCAATCCTGTCTTATTTAATGTGTGTAGTTGGGTCTTGGCCAGTCAGGAAAAGCCCGGAGTGTTGCAGACTGAGTGAGGACACTCCTCCTGCCCAGTGACAGGAGCAGGGACATCTATCATCTTTTCCCACTTTGTTTTAGAATGGAAGCATTAGTTTCTTCCTGGGTCTCCAGGCTGTTATCTTTCAACCAAAACTGTTATTACTTTTCTGGGGAGAGATGCAAAGAAACACCAGTTTGCTACAGGCAGGATATCAACAGACCAAGCAAACTATCCTATTCAAGCCCAACTTGTAAATTGAATAAGCCTATTAGGGTTCCTACCAGGAGCATAGGTGGAGGGCTACATACTTATAGGAGGAGGGTAACTCAAAGGCAGCAATGTCACAGAAAATTCCATGCCAATATGGGGACTCTGAAAAGCTCACTGGCACCCCCTGTGCCTCACAAGACCACAGGAAGCTGGGGAGGAGACATGGGGAGTCATAGGTTAGGTTCTGATGATGCCTGCTTCTTTCTTCAAGGGAATGCTAATAGGCCCAATATTGAGGAGGGCTCTCACAGGTAACCCCAGATGATCTGATATTATGATAGCTAAGGTCAAATCATGGCCAGAAGACAGATTTCAAAACAAGCCACACCACTAGCTCTCCTGGGTCTATGGACCTTAGGCCAGTGCTGCCTCCACAGCCTTCTGAGTCAACATTTTGGAATAAGCATCTCTTTCTCTCTCTCTCTAGTTTCACCAGTATCAGCAAGCTTGATTTTCATAGCTTGCCGGGTTTCACGGTGGAATGAATGATTAGGCTATCCATGCCACTGAGTTAGTGGTCCAAGAGTCAGATATGACAATGGCTTTTGTATTGCCCCAGCCTGCCACTGTCCCCTCTCCTGACACTGTTCATACTCCTTCCTCAGAAGAGTCAGATTTGATTTGTGGAACTCCTAGGAGTTCCAAGGACATGCACACGAGAGTTCCCACTCTTGGCTTCCAGGAGGTTAGCAGTGAGCAGCTGCTGGCCTGAATGTCTTCCTTTTACACATTCTGACATGTGACCTAGTAGATAGGCCCTTTGTTTCTTCTCTGGCTGTCTCTTCCAGGTCCCAGTGCATGGTCCTTGGCTTCAAGCCCACAACTAGAACTGGGGCATGAGAAGCAACCCTGGCCAGAATGACTACCTAGAGTCCTGGTCCAACTTACCAGCAAGCTCTGAGCCCAGCTATCACAGTATCAGCCTAGACAGGATCCTTGGATCAGAGTGATGGGCAGAGCAGGATTCAGCTGTTTGAATACTGTGTCCCTACACACTTTCAACATCTCAGAGAATGACTCTGTCTGCCAGCAGGCTCCTCAACCAGGTTCTACAGTGACTCTGCCTCTCTGACTAGGCCAAGGCCTTTCTCTGCTCCTGGGATGGTGATGACTCCTGAGACACTGTTACTAGACAGCTTGCACCCTTGTCAGCCTCCATGCTGACCTTTTCTGATCCTCACCTTCCTCATCTGTGGAATGGAGATGACCCCCTGTGCTGGATAACTTTATGTCAACTTGACAAAGCTAAAGTTATCTGAGAGGAGGGAACCTCAACTGAAATAATACCTCCGTAAGATCAAACTGTAAGGCATTTTCTTAATGACTGATGGGAGGCCATTTGGGGTATACTACCTGGGCTGGTGGTCCTGGGTTCTTTAAGAAATCAGGCTGAGCAGGCCATGATGAACAAGTCAGTAAGCAGCATCCTCCATGGCCTCTGCATCAGCTCCTGCCTCCAGGTTCCTGCCCTGCTTGAGTTTCTACCCTCATTGCTTTTGATGAACTGCCGTATCATTGGTTCTCAACACACGGGTTATGATCCCTTGAGGGCATCAAATACCCTTTCACAGGGGCTGCCTTAGACCATCTGAAAATACAGATATTTACATTATGATTTATAACAGTAGCAAAATTAGTTATGAAGTAGCAACAAAAATAATTTTATAGCTGGGGTCCACCACAACATGAGGAACTGTATTAAGGGGTCCCAGTATTGGGAAGGTGGAGAACCACTGGAAGAGTAAAACAAACCTTTTTCTCAAGTTGTTTTGGTCATGGTGTTTTGTTACAGCAATAGTAACCCTAAGTAACCCTCGCCCAACCTTTGCTATAAGACTGAGAACTGAGTAAGACACCATGTGGTGCACACTCACCCAAATGTTGGGTGATGTCCAGGGCTGCAATGCATAAGCTCTATTTAATGGTATATTGGAGATTGGAATGTCTCCAAAGGCTTATGTGTCAGACTTGGTTCTATTGGGAAGGGTTAGGAGGAGGCCTTTGGATCGCTGGAGACATGTCTGTATAAAGGAGACCGAGGGACCCACAGCCCCTCCTCTAATTCTCTTTGCTCCCTGGTTTGCGACCATTTTCTCTGCCACACCTACCCATTAGGAGGACATGGTATCTCACCACAGACCCAACTGAGCATGGAACTGGAGCTCTGAAAATGGGAACTGAAACAAACCTTTCACCTTTATCCGTCGATTATCTCAGTTTATTTTGCTATAGTGGAAGAAAGCTGACCAGCAGAAGGAACATTAAAGATTTAAAATACAACCTGTAAAGCTGGAGGAGGGATTTCCTAATGGGTTCCTTGAAGAGAACTTCAGAATAAAGTTCAGCCATCACACATGTTCTAGTAAAATGCCCATCGTGTGTTCATTGGTGCAAAACTTTATTTAGTAAAAACTTGGCTCCCTCGACTGGGCGTTTAAGCTTCACAGCTCTGGAGGCAGCCAGGATGAGCCAAACTGCTCAAGCAATAGCCGTACATCCACGGGGGCTCAATGGTAACAAAAGTTCATTACTTGTTTCAGTGTCAGTCTGGAGCTGGTGGGCAGTTCCGCAGGGAGCAGAGACCCAGCCTCTTTCCAGCTGAGGCCTTCCCAAGCCCTGCCGCTCTGGCTTTGCATCCAGCTACTGTGGGGCAATAGCCAGGGCTGACAGACTTCTGTTCCTGAGGACACAGCTGGCTGCAGGGAAGGCTGGGGAGGGTAGCATTCTGCTTGGCTGGAGGGAAGTGGTTTCCTCCAGCTTTTAGATGAAAGCGACAAAGCCAGGGCAGCAGCCAGACCCCCTGCTGACGTGTCTAGTGCCTGAGGACAGTGCCCACCGACCTGCCATCCTCTTACTGGGACTCTTGCCATGGCTTCTTCATTGCAAGGGCAGAAACACGTTTGCCACCAGTTTCCCCTGCCTGCGTGCATTCTTTTGGCTGGTGTCTGTGGGCGTTTGCTTTCAGACAGGACATCAGAGCTGAGGGGCACCACCTGCTGCTGAGTCCATACTGTGACCTTCTGAGCAAAAAAAATGACAAAGACTAACTTCCAGGCCATACTTTATTTTTACAGAAGCGGTGGCCCCACAGCCACAGGGACATGTGTTCTGGAGAGTAGGCACAGTGCCTGAGGCTGCAAGAGCCTGATAAGGGGGACTCATGCCTTCTCCTTGGTCCCCATGACCAAATTAAAAAAAAAAAAAAAAAAAATCACACAACACACTGCCACACACATCCCCATCCCCTCTCCTCCCTTCCAGTAACAGCCAATTCAGCTTTCTAGCCAGACAGTGGCTACAACTCTGATTTTACAGAAAACTTTCATGCAGCCAAGAAACCGGTCATGGAGGGGAGAGGCTTGCTTTGACTTCCCACATGCATGGTCCCGCAGCAGCAAGTCACTGCATGGCTGGATGACGATAGGACTGGCTATGTGGAAATGCTGGGACCCAGTGCACCATGCTTGGAAGACAACCACTTTTCAGGTTAAGATATCGGAGCCAAACACTATCCCGAGGCTGTGACTCACAACCTCTCCCCTTCCCAGGTCCTGGGGAGTGTCTGTGGAGGGCCGGATTTTGATTATTTAGGGTTGACACGCTGCTGGCATCACTGCCACAGTCTTTGGGATGGAGGTTTGACTGGTGGAATGATGGTGCTGTAGGTATCACACTAACTAACCTAGCTCGCATTGACCATTCACCTGCAGCAAGCAGAGTCATCAGTCAGCGAGGACAAGGATGCACACGGACCACCAGGAGAGCCCATGCCAAGTATCCATGCTGTATAGGCAGCAAAGTGGAGACTTTCCTTCACAGGCCCAAATGGGCGAGGTGGCCCCTCTGCCTTCCAACTGCCACGAGTGCAAGAGCCTTCACAGTACCACGGTGGCCCTGCGCAGCATGTGAAGCCCTCAGCGGCATCAGTGAGCATCCTTCAACTAAAGCACGACTCTAAGGGTTCCGGCACCTGCCAGAAGAAACGACACGGGAGCTGGCTTGGTGCTGGGAGGGAGGACTTTAGATGATGGACAGTCCCTAACTGTCGCCTGGACTGTTTACTTTCCCCCAACCCGGACAAACACTAGGCTTTCTACTGTCTAACACAGAAAGGCTTCAGGAGCTCTTACGTTTCAATGTGACATGAGAAAACTGCAGCTTATCGGGCGGGGACCGTGACCAGCTCAGCTCTTGAATTCTGGCTTCTGTTGTAGGACTTGATTCCCCCTCGGACTCTGGGTTTTCAGCTGGGCCAGGCGGTTCTGAAGGTGGGGCTGGACAACCAACCACGCTTCACTAACAAGGCAGAAGGACCTTGGAGGCCCCTCCCTCTGGAACGGAAATGGAGCTAACTTTCTCTGAGCTTAGGATTTGTAAGGCACTGAAATTAACTAGAGCTGGGGGCGGGAGGAACAAAATGGGGGAAATGAGTGACCCTGGATGCTTTCTTTCCAACCCCAGGGAGGGTCCCCACAGTAGCACAGGGCGGATACCCCTTTCTCAGTGTGGGACCCACCCCTATGTGACACAGTCATGAGCATGTGGCCCCACCATGACTCGGGATTCTAGAGGAGGTCCGGATGGTGGGATTCAAGAAAGAAAAGCCCAGGGAGGCCAGGCTTCCCATCTTGAGATGTCTTTTCCAGGAACAGCCCTGAATGGGCTCAATGATGGCTGGGGTAGCTCTCGGGCCTGAGCACACAGGAAGAAGGGGCAGGATGGCCCAAAGATGGCAGAGAGAACTTTGGACTGGACCTAGCTTTGGCACAGCACATCCTGGGCTTGCCTGCCCGTCATGTGGTCCCCGCAGAGGTCCAGGGGAAGGAGGAACCTCCTTTGCCCCCACGAAGGGCTCTTGTGGCTGAAGCAGACAATGCAGGTGCAACTTCAAGGCAACCTTCATCCTGCCAGATGACACGTGGGGCATCTTCCCAGGCTCAGGGCTGAATCCAAAGCATGGGTCAGGTGTGAGGTTGAATGGGAAGCAGTGGTAGTGGCTTCCGCTTGGGAAGCTCCTCCCACACAACCGGCCCTTTATGGAGATGACATCCCACAGGTAGGTATTTTTACCTCCTTACACAGATGAACATGGGCACAGAGGGGCCGAGTGACTAGCCCAGAGTCAGTGTCGCACGGCTAATGAGTGACTATTCTGGGACCGGGACTTAGGACCATCTGACTCCAAATCCCATGTGCTTCCACTTGCCTGAGCGCCCTGGAGGCCGTCAGGCTGCCTTGGGGATTTCTGGAGGGGTTTCTTTCTGAAGTCTGGGAAAGCAGAGAGGCTGAGCGAGGGAGAGCAAGTCCATTCCCATGCATCTGGCTCCCCAGGTGCCCCGCTCAGTGCCTTGCCGCCTTGCAGATCTTGTCATACACCTCAGGGAAGGCGTCCTGGCAGCCGAGCTGCTTGCGCAGTTTGTGGTAAAGGGAACCATCAAACATTTCCCAGAACTCCTCGCGGTTCATATAGCAATCGGCATATAACATCTGGAACCTGCATGGGAGGGAAGGGGTAAGGGTGTGATGATGGACAAGGTGGGTGAGAGGGCCCCTGTGTCCCTAAACCCTAGGCCACTCACCCGTGCACACTCCGGACAAACTTCTCCAGCTGTCTCATGCAGGACCTGGCCTCGAAGTGCTTCACACGCGGCTCCCCATATGCCCCGATGTCCACGTAGAGCTCAGCCTCATCTCCCTTGGGGTGCACCAGTCCTGGTTGGCTGGGCAGGATGAATGGGCACAGCCAGATGGGGTAGACCTGAGGGGCCAGGGAAGTGGATTGGTCTGCCTTTTTCCAGCAGGTAGCAGACACAGGATTGGCCCACCCACAGCCCACAAAGGGAGACTTAAGAGTCTGCAGCCTCACTAGAGGCTCCCAGCTGCTCTCAGCTCTGGCTTCCCCTCCAGCCCTGTGAGATACTCCTATTCTACCTCATGGAGCTACTCTAGAGCAGCCTGTCAGGCACCATGGCCCCTTTTCCTTGCTGCCCTGGCTGAGCGAGCCAAGAGTGTCATTTTATAGTCGGAGAAACTGAGGCCCTGTGGGCAGATACACAAGGGTGGGTGACGTGGTTCTAGGGAGAAGATGTAGGTCCCATGGACCCATGCCCGCCTGACCACCCTGCTTACGTGGATGTCATTTTGGAAAGTGTGCAGGGCCTGGGGCAGGCATTTCATGGGCACCAGCATGTCCTGTACCACATGGTGTTGCTCATACAGCTTGCGGAGAGTTTCGCCCTGCGTCAGCTTCAGGAGGGAGATCTTAGGGGGCACCATCCAGCCAAAGAGGTAGCGGAATATGGGGTTGTTGCCAAAAGGGATGATATCCTAAAAGACAGAGATGGGGGATGGGAAGAAAGAGGAAGTCTCAGTCAGGTCCTTGATCCACTCGGGACAAGTACTCCAGGGTGCGAGCCCCTCATGAGACACAAAGAGGATCTTTACCGGGTGGATCTGGGTCAGACCCTCATTTCACACATTTACCAACTATAGTGGCTTTGGGATAGTCATGTAACTTCTCTAGGCTCGGCTTCCTTATCTGTGAAAAGTGACACGTGAGGCAAATAGAGATATTGTGACCGGTGCCAGGAACACGATACCATGGCTACCATTCCTGTTCTCAAGATTAAGGTCAGCGTGGTTGGCAGCCTATAAGCATTTGCTAAATGAAGGCTGTCCAGTGAGGATGGGATACCTAGAGAGCTTGAGCAGTATTCCTAAGGGCATGCAGTAAGGACGCGCTCCCCAGGTGGGTGGAGTCTAACTCTACAAGGAGTTGGTTGGCTTCCACACAGCCAACCATTCATTCTCTTGCTCCTCTTGGTCTCCCTGGAAACCCTGGTAGGCAGATACCATCTTTCCTCTCATGCTCTGGGTGCTGCTGCTTCCCCCACCCTTTCACTTAGCCATGCAGAGACTCCCTAGTTCACAATCGTCTTCCTAGCTCTAGGCCTTGCTACTTTCCTAAGACACCGGTGTGCAGAGTACCACAGCCTCTGAAGTTTTGATGGCAAGGGGGCTGTCAGCGACAAGGCATTCCATTCCAGACATGGTTCCTGTCCTGAGATGCTCACTCTCCTGGGAGCAGTGGGTATAGTACAGAACTGGGACAGAGTCGGAGGCAGCTTCTGAAGGTCCCCTGGCATAGGAGCCCAAAGCAGCAACATGTGCCAACTGCTGAAAGCTCTGTATCACATTCACACACCCCTGGAGTCAGAGCTTTCCTACGAGGGTGCTTAGCCATCTGATGTCCAGTCTACCAGACCCACACAGCCTGAGCGAGGCCATAGAGTCAGCCACCGAGGCCACATCTGCTCATCTATATGTGTCTCTGGCTTCTGTCTGACTAGGACAGAAGAGTACTTGGAGAGACTGAATATCTCCCCAACAGACCTCTCCAGCCCTTCCCACAGACTGTGTACACCACTTCACTTTGTTGCCCGGATGCAGAGCCATTTATTTAAGCAAGGCTACATGGACGGGCATTTAGATTACTCCAAGATTATCAGTGAAGCTCCTCTGCGTAAGTCTTTGCCCATCACTATGCACATTTACTGTTAAGTTCCTAGACACAGACAACTCTAGATTAAACGCTGTGGGTATCTTTAAGGGATCCTACTTCAGACACTCGCATTATTTTGTATTCTGAAACTAGAGGTGAACATGGCTCCTTGCAAGCTTGCCAGCAATGCGCTCTCACACTTCCAGATCTCTGCAGTTTCCCTGACAGGTGAACAGCGAGACACAGTGAGATACCTGTTTCCAGCTCTCGGGAGACTATGTGTCATCCTTCTCAGGTCCACTGGTTTGTATGAACCAAACTGTCGGCCTCAGAGGGCCAATGTTTAAACACCACTCTTCTTTCCTGCCTCTGCCACCCCTTACAATCCATCCTCTGACCCCTTAGTGACCTGGGGTCCACGGTCCTGGCTTCACTCCTGTCCTGTCCTGCCAATGTGCTGAGGTCACTTTTCCCAGCACTCTCCCTCAAGATGCTTCGGCCTCAGGCTCCTGCCACCTCGGCTGTTGCTTGCATCTGGCCAGCTACTGGCTACCTCTACTCCGGTAACTGGCTGCAGAGCCCTAGGGATGACCAAGGATCCCAGCAGCTCCTTTCTTACCCATGTTAACCACCCCCCACACAGTGGCTAACAAATGCTATGACAATGGCCACCCAGGCCTGCCCTAGGTTCTCAGGCCTTTCTTAACAGAGCGATGAAGGTCAAAATGGAATGTTCATGAACCAAAAGTAAAATAGCCTTGTACATTTACGTGTGTGTGCATGCAAATGCAGGTCTGTGGAGGTCACATGACAACTCCTTGCCTTCCGCCTTGTCCGAGTTGTCTCTTTGGTTGTGTGCTGCCCTGCGTGCCAAGCTAGCTGTCTGGAAAACTCCCAGACATCCTCCTGCACAATCTCCCATTAGCAGCTCTGGTTTTATAGATGTGGGCCATCATGCCTAGCTTTATGTGGGTTCTGGGGATTCAAATATGGGGTCCTTACTCTTGAACAGTAAATTCTTTACCCATGGAACCATCTTTCTAGGTCAAAATATTGTCAAGACAGTGGGTCCTCCCACGCCCCAACCCCACTGTGCTAGGGATTGAACTTACGGTGTGCTAAGCAAGCATCCCATCACATAGCCCGGCCCCAGCCCCAATCACTGAGTCCCAGTCCTAGTCCTGATCACTGAACCCCAGAAAGTGCTCTTATATTTAAAAGATGAATGGTAAAATCCATGCTAATAACTCAGAATGGGATTTTTTTTACTTATTATGCAAATATTTATGACAGGACAAAGGAAAAGGCTGTCTACATTTTAGTACTTTCAGTGGCACTCTAGATCTGTTTCGTGCACTGGGCTCCACAGGTTACCTAGCTGGCCCTGAACCTGGTGCTGCCTGATGGGGGGATGGAGGGAGGGGGGAGGGAAGTGCTTGAGCCAGCCAGGCTAGGCCCGGGTGTTCTGACTCATCACCCAGAATGTAGGTTGACCAGGTTGTTCTTTCAAAGACCTTTTTTCTTCAGGGAGGAAAGTGGAGTGAAGGCAGCCAATGGGAAGGAAGGTATATTTATTGGTGGGAAAACCTACATTGAGATTGTGTGTATTTATCAGAAAGGTCTCAGCTTCCATAACTTCTGTAACTCCCCCTACCTGGTGCTCCACCCGCTCATGGAAGTAGGTTCCTCCTTAGAAACCACTGTTGGCAGAAGGGAGTTGCCTCACACAGGCCAGGAGGAGAGCAATGAGCCTGGGCTAGGGGCAGAGGTGTGTCAGATTGTCCATTGACCTCAAAGGGAACAGCATTCTGAAGGCCAACTCTGCCTTCCCGTAAGGGACAGCTGGGCTTCTGCAGCTGCCCGGTCCTGTTTCCGTATTGCCTCAAATTTCTAAGTCCCAAGAGTAAATAAACTGCAGGTAAGCAAACATGGCTTAAAACACCTGTTCTTCCAGTTCCTGCCTATAAATGGAGGTGGCTTAGGACGGTGTTCACTTAGCTGCACGGCAACATGACAAGCTTCATTTTGAGCAGTCTGTGAAGCAGTTAAAAATCTCTTTACCCCCTTAGGAGATAGGGCACCTTGGCTGGAGCAAACCGGGACATGAAAGGCACACTGCATGGGGGAAGCCACATTCACGGCTCTCATTACTGAGGCCTGGGCCCTGTGTGCCCTCACCCTCACAGACTCCCTCCCTGGTTCTGAACCACTGAGCTCTCATTCAGCCTTGTGCACTGCAGCTCTACAGCACCGAGTCTGGGACCACTGTCACCCGCATCTGCACTCACATTTGGTGAGTTTAATACCCACAAACACGGTCCACTCACACTTTGGTACCCCAGCTCCTCCGCCTGCCTTTATCTTCCAGCAGTCTTATCTTTCACTGAGCTCAGCGGCTGCTCTCATGTCATCTCTCAGAATAGCTGACAACACTTGTCACCATGACGACCTAATCTCCGGAGCCAAACCAGTCCCGGTGCATCTTTTCCCGGAGCCACTCATGCCACACACACTCACTCACTGCGGATTGCATCACCGCGGTGCTCTGTTGCATCAGAACTCAGTTGCTGGAGTATAAGTACCACCTACTTGGTCCTTTAAGAATGTTTCTCAAGCTCCAGACCATCAGTGTCTACATCTATTCCACAGTTCCTTCTGTCCACCCTACCCTAGAGGTGGCCCACTCTACCAACCTGGCATCCACCGTCACAGTGTGAAAACCCACAGCCATATGCTGGCCTAGCCACGAGTTCATGGTCACCAGTCTCAGGAAGCTGAAGCCCCTGCCCCATCCCAGCCAATGAACTTCCTATTCTCTAAGGGACAATTCACATGTCCCCCTCTCAAGCTGTCACCATGCCCTGGCTGAAATTCCTACTTTTGATTTTATCGAGAAATTACAGACAACCAGAAGGGAACTCCCTCAACTTCCCACGTCCCAACTGCCCCCAACTTCATGCAACTGTTCCCTCCTACACAAGCTACCACCACGAGGCCACTTTCTCAGCTGAGCCAAGAAGCCACCCCCAGTATAAACATATACTGTCACTCTCCCCATCAGCCCCAGGACATATAACAATGATGTCACCTTTGCTTCTAAAAACAGAGAAACAAGATTCTCTTAGTCCTGTCCTCACTCCGGCTTCTGTCCCCGTGCGCCCCCCCATTTGTCCCTTTAAGTGGCCTCTGAGATTGGTTTCACAATCCTATTCTCTCTCTCTCTTTTTGTTTTGATTTTTCTAGACAGGGTTTCTCTGTGTAGCTTTGTAGACCAGGCTGGTCTCAAACTCCCAGAGATCAGCCTGCCTCTGCCTCTTGAGTGCTGGGATTAAAGGTGTGCATCACCAACACCCGATTCACAATCCCATTCCTTTAAACTCAGTCTTCTGGGTTTTAGCTGCTATCCAAAGCTGATTTCTATCCCTTCATCTCACTTAGCAATGGACACTTTCCTGGAGGTTCCCCCAGGCTCTGGCTAAGGAGCCTTCTCTTCTGATGGTTCCTCTCCCTGGGACTGTAAGGGACCCAGGACTGGGCATTTTCATGCTCCTACTAATCATGGCTTTAAATAAAAAAAGGCCAGGTGGAATAAGCCCACAAGCTCTGCATTTGGTGGGGTAGGGAGTAGGGAGTATGGGGTGGTGATGGTGGCTGGTGGAGTCAGGAAGTTCAAGACTAGTCTCAGAGACATAAAGACCTGCATGGGCTACATGAGACCTTATCTCAAAAACAAAACAACCAAACTCAAACAAAACCCCCAAACTCAACACTATTTCCCTGCCACGGATGCCTATATTTATACACATGGTCTTAACCTTGTTGAGACCCTCTGGTCCTCACACACATAGTTGACTGGGTAGCAACTCAAGGGTCCACTTGTGTGCTCAAGAAGCACGTTCAACAGATATGCTCCGGGCAGACTTTCTAGTGTCCCTTGCCATGCCCCCCTCCCCCGCTTCCCATGGTAGTTAGGGGGCCTCCTTCACCTAGCTCTTGGGTCTCCAAACTGAACTCATGCCAATCTGTCTGGAAAACCTGTAGATCGGCTCAACTGTCAACGCCACTCACGGTGCTTTTCTCCTCTGCTGCCTCCCAGACAAACAGTAATGTTTCATCTCTTTTCCCATGATCGCTTAGCCCCCAACCTACCCCCACCCACTCTCCTTCCAGCTTAAAGAATAAAGATATTCTTTAAAAATAAAAAAAGTAGGACACACCACTTTCCTACTGAAAGTGCCCACTGGCTTCCTCTCACACCTAGAAAAAAGCATTAAGTTCTGACTTGACCTACAAGGAGCCATGTGACCCAGGCCAGCCTCTGGCTTCTGTGTGGCCTCGTTCTGCACCCTGGCTCTAGCTCGGCAACCTTGCTGTGTTTCAGACATAGGTAGCCTGCAGGGACAACAGGACAATGAGGTCCAAGAGATCGCAACTAACCTCCGCCTCACACACTAGGTACAAAGTGTTCAACCTAAATGAAGGAGCAACATCCTTGAAGCTCCTGGAGGCAGGCATGGATCGGGGGATGGAGAGCAAGGGTCTTCCTGGTCTCAAATTTGTTCGTAAATTCTTAAATATGACAACGAACAAAGTAGATAAGTTGGACTTCATTGACATGGAAAACATGTACATCAACAGACACTGCCAAAATTGTGAAAAGCAGGACAGGATAAATATTTGCAAATCGTGTGTCTGCTAATGGTTTAGCATCCAGAGTGTGTGTGAAGAACACATACAACTCAACAGCAAGCACAAACAGCCCAGGGAAAAATGGACAAAGGGGCTAGTGAGTGAGATTGCTCAGTGGATGAAGGATGATCTGAGTTCGACACTTGGGACCCATGAAGTGGAGGGAGAGAACTGATTCTTGGAAGTTGTCCTCTTGCTTCCATACTTAGATCATAGTACATGTGTGTCACACACACACACACACAAAACGAATGAATGAATGAATGGATGGATGAACTAAAAATAAACAAAAGACCCCACAAATGGCTCACAAGCACTTGACAAAATGCTCAAGGACAGCCAAGGCTTCACAGAGAGAATTCCTAACTTGAAAAATCACGAAGAGCTGGGTGTTCCTTGGTAGCCCACGCCTTTAATCCCAGCACTTGGGAGGCAGAGGCAGGCGGATCTCTCTGCGTTCATGACCAGCCTGGTCTACAAGAGCTAGTTCCAGGGCAGCCTCTACAGCCACAGAGAAACCCTGTCTTGAAAAACTAAAAACCAAAACCAAACCAAAACAAACAAACAAAAACATTAAAAACAAAACAAAAACCAGTAAGGAACTACAAGCAAACCCCACTGTGATACCACTGCCAATCCCAGGACACTATAACAGTAACAATAACTTACAGATCAGAGAGTATTAGCCAGGAGGAAAAACTGGAACATTGCCAGGTGAAATGAAAACAGTATAACCACCGTGGGAAACATTAGGGCAGAACCTCCACCAGTTAGACACAGAATTACCATCATTCAGCAATTCCATTTCTCATCTGTGTGTATGCATGAGTATGTCCCTAAAGAATGTGAAAACTGTTTACTTGCTCAGGGGGTATGAGGTTTCCTTAGGTACAAAGACAACACCTGGGACTCCATGGAGTTGGAAGCCACACAGCATCACGTGTGTGCTGAGCTCCCTGAACTAGGCACCAGACACTAGTTAAGTCTCCTGGCTCACCACTGGCCATTCCTCTGCTTGGGGATTCTCCTGGAGGGCCTGTGTGGCTGGTCCTCCTCAAGTCCAGGACCCACCTCATGTGCCATCTACTCGTCCACTCACCCCTACACACAATGGTAGACTTATGCTCACCTCAAGGCTAAACTTGACTCTTACCCCTTTGCACAACCCTTCCCCCCTTTGCTTTGCACAGCTTTTCCAGGGCCTGTTCTCTCCCCACACAGAGCTAGAATCCCTGTTCAGCAAGGATAATGCCTCCTGAAAGATAAAGCGGGCCTGCCTTCCCCAAAGTATGGCCTCACTCTGTGTCAGCGGTGAAAGCCAACTTCTTACTGCAGGTGGCTGTGCCTAACCCAAAACACAGTAACTGCTCTGCTGGACTGTGAGGACAAGACCATTCCTTCACCAAAGGGACAGAGAACTAACTGTGGCCACAAGGTGAATGGCGCGCTGTCTCCCCCCCCAGGAGCCAGGGCCCCGAGAGAGCCACACCTCACCTGGAGCTCCCAGAAGATGCTGCGCGTGTGGCGGTGGTAGTAGTGCCTCAGGGGAATGTACTCAAGGCCCTCACGGTTTGTCTTCAGGTAGTTCTCCACGTGCTTGAAGAACCATGGCTTGTAGTAGCTGCCAATGCTATTCAGCTGAAATGACAAGAGGGCATTGTGATCAGAGAGTGTCAGATCACAAGGGAGCCACCGGGGAGCAACAGTGATCCGGCTGCTGTTCGATACCCTTGGCCTTTTCCAAGCTCTGACATGTCAGTTGTGGCCTTAGAGAGTTCAGAGCCAGGCGGCCTGGGCACAGCAGGCACTCACTCTCCAGCAGAGAGCAGACACTTGGAGTGACCTTAGTGCTGTGCACAGGGCTCTGACAGTCTAGGAAATTTAGTGGCCCATCCCAGCTGGTGTCCTGATTAGAACACAAGTCAATGTTCATGGGGTCCGTGGTAATTCAGGGCTCTGCACAGGTTAGCTTCCTGCTGCCCTCACCGAGCCAGTGTGGATCCCTCTCACTGGAACCCGTGGTTCCAGTCCTCTGGGTTCTTTCCCTAGAGTCTCCCTCCCCTGGAGGGAAGCTCACAGGCTACATGTTCTGGCTCCAGGCTCTGTCCTCCAATGCCTAAATGACACACTGAACTGTTGTCTTATAGCTCTCAGAGTTTCAGGTCTAGATCTGCCTCACTCCAAGATGACTTAGTTGCTCAGACCCCAGTGCTCTCTCCTCTGAAGTGAATTCTAGGCAGGTTCTCTTGGGAAGAGAGAATGTTCTAGGGCTGGGACGCTGGGCCAGATGTTGCCTAGCTATATTTTAGATGTGTGAATTGGTAGAGGCCACTCCCTAACTCTGTTTCCTGCATAAGTGAATTAACAATAAACACACACACATACACATTAATTTCAGGGCTTTATTTCTCTCTCTCAAAACAGACAAACAAACAAACTAAACTAAAACCAAAAAACCCAAAATAAAAACCAAACTGAAAATCAGGGCCATATCATACTGTACACACTGTGTGCCAATCTGTTCTTCCCATGTACAAGCCATGCAGCTGATCCTTTAGCCTGTTTGCCTCACTTTCTATTTGGCAAGATACTGATACTGCTGACTGGATGGCTGTGCAGGTCAACGTAACACAGGACACACCTAGCATGGGTCCGCCCTGCAGAGGGCCACAGCATCAGTTCCCTGCCCTCCCACTGGTTGTCAGCCTCTCCTCTGTTGCCAGTACCTGCCACTTCTCTGGGTACCACCCTCTCGTGGAGCCTTCTCCATATCAGGCACTCTGTGGGGGAGGAACGTGGGAGCCACAGTGGGCTAGACAGTTCTGCACAGAGCCTGCTTGCCCACACTGGCTTCCCCTGTGGATAGTGAAGGGGACCGAAACTCGGCAGCAGATGGAGCAATCTGATCTAAGGCAGCGGAGGCCTGGCCACCTGCCCGGCAGTGGCATCGACTGTGTAATTAAGTTGAAACTTGGGGTGCCTAGGTCCAAGGTTTTAGGGAACCACTGAACTAGAGAAGCCCCGAAACAAAAAATAAATAAATAAAAGACACCCTAACTGCCACTTGGGACGCATGGCAGCTGGGAAGGCCAGACGGCTGTAGAAGCTCATACCGGCCTTTACGTATCCGCAGAGAGCAGCCCTTGCCTGGCTGTAAAGTGGGTTACATGCTCACAGGGAGCCTCACCCTGGATGGAGCCACCAGAAGACCCATCACAGTGCTTGGCTGGCTTCTAACCTGGGCCGCTTGGCACATCTAACAGCATCTACTACTCTCCTGTCCCAGCTCAGCTAACTAGTGATGTCTCGGCCTTGCTTACTACTACAAAAGCCAAGAATTTGGCCTCTGTGCTTTTCTCCCACTTGGCCTGGAGGAGCTCCTGGCAGGGTCCTGGGGCCTTCATTCTCTTGTCAGGAAACACCAGACCTGTGTTAAAAGCCTAACAAATCCTTTCTTAGTGCCATCTTTGATGGCATCTAATCCATGGTAAAGTTATTTTCATAGGGCAGGTGGTTTCTCCCCTTGGCCCCTCCCCTCAACTTCACACTGTAGACACCTCTAAGGAATTGCCAGGACAAGCTAGAACACCTCTGGACCAGATGCCCTTGACAGGTGATTAGGGGTGGGGCACTCACAATGACTAGGCTCAAGGCCAGGGAGAACCAGAGCACTTAGACTCCACGGCTGCTCCTGGATGCCCTCTTCCAACATGTGTCCCACCAGGGTTCAATGCTGTGGACACATGGTGCTAATCTCTAGAAGCTGGGATTCGGGGACCCACATGACCCAGGAGTCAGAGACCAGAATGAAAACCTTCTATGCTCACTGGGCCTCCCCAGGAGTCTGTCCCTCACTGGGCCTCATTTCCTAATATGCAGAGAGGATTGTTTTACACAGTTTGTGAGTCCTTTTCAATTATTGTAGTTTACTGAGACCAGGGCCTCATACACAGTAGCTAAGTACCCTACCACTGGGCTAACCCTCTAGACCACATTTCCAAGTAAGCAAAGCAAAAACAAAATTTCTTTAGTGTGTGTGTGTGTAAAACAACTTGTGGGAGTTAACTCTTTTCCTTTGCCATGTGGGTCCCAGGGATCAAGTTTAGCGTTGGTGGGAAGTACCCATATCCACTGAGCCATCTCGAGGCTTCCAATTTTATTTTATTACTTTTTAAAGATTTATTATGTATACAGTGTTCTGCCTGCATGCATGCCCGCAGGCCAGAAAAGAACACCAGATCTCATTACAGATGGTTGCTGGAAATTGGACTCAGGACTGTTGGAAGAGCAGGCAGTACTCTTAACAGCAGCTCTGAGGTCCCCAATTTTAAAACATTTTACGTTTGCAGGTATAGATCAAGAGCCTTAAGAGATGCCTGTACTTTGATGTAATAATTCTACTTTAAGACATTCTTCAAGTCCTCTCTGCTCCACTAATCAAAACAAAGCAGGACAAATAAAACTAGAAGCAACTTAAATTTCCATCTGTGGACAGTGTTTTTTGTTTGTTTTGTTTTTGTTTTTTTATAAGCAACAGACAGGGCATTTGCTCAATGCACTGCTCTGAAAACATGAAATCACCCGAGGCAGCAGAGCACAAGACAATGCTTACCCACCAGACAAGACAAATTTGAAGAGGTGAGCACAGATAAAGGCAGACAAACTAGAAAACTTTGCAAAGATGTGTTCAACTGTGCAAGTAACAAGAGAGCTACAAAATAAAGACGAACTATTTTTAACCTTATCAGATTGGCAAAAATCAAAGTGTGATACTCTCACTACGGTTGGCAGGAATGTAGGGGGAAAGGCCTTCAGCCACCTGTTACTGGATGCAGGCATGAACACCACTAATCCATTGAGGGCTGTGTGGCTCCACTCACCCATATTTAGGGTGTTTACACCTGGGCTCAGGATTCTGTTTCATTCATAAAATTGTTGGTACGAAAGGACAAGAGAGTCTTAAATCAGGCCAAGGACTTACATTCAACCAAGTGGTGGGGAGTAGGATAAGGTATACTGAGAAATGCTGTGGAAGGGGTTACCGTGTGTGTGTGTGTGTGTGTGTGTGTGTGTGTGTGTGTGTGTGTGTGAAGAAATGCCCCTTAACTTTGTGTGTGTGTGTGTGTGTGTGTGTGAAGAAATGCCCCTTAACTTTCTTATATATTCAACATTGCCATACTAGTTTATCATTTAAAAACTTGAAAAAGGTTTTATGTACATTAAGGGGTGGGGGGAGAGATGAGGAACAGTTAGCTTTGGGTCACAAGTGTACATGGGGTCTTTTACTTGTTCCTACTTTCAGGTCTCTTACAGTGAACACAGATCCTTTCTGAATGGAGGGGGAAAATCCTACTAGTAAAAATTACTTGGTCATGCCAGGCAGTGGTGGTAAATGCCTTTAATCCCAGCACCTGGGAAGTAGAGGAAGGCAGATCTCTGAGTTTGAGACCAGCCTGGTCTACAGAGGGATTTCCAGGACAGGCCCCAAAAGCTACGAGGAGAAACCTTATCTAGAAAAAAAGTTACTTGGTGGCCAGGCATGGTGGCACACCCCTTTAATCTTGCACTTGGGAGGCAGAGGCAGGAGGTTCTCAGAGTTTGAGGCCAGTCTAGTATACACAGTAAGTTCCAGACCAGCCAGGGCTACATAATAATAGTAAGACCCTGTCTGAATATGGACAGACAGACAAAACAACAACAACAAACCAGAAGCAAAAACGTCATATATATTACATAGTTGGGTCACACCTGTAATTCTAGAACTTATACTCAAGAGATTGAGGCAAGAAGATAGCTATTAGTTGGAGGTTAGTCTGGGCTACTCAGTGAGTTCCAGGATAGCCTGAGCTAGTATGTAACCCTGACTGAAAAATAAATAAAGATTAAAACATCACACATTTGTCACATATAATTAAAATACATGAATAAAACATTAAACATTGTACGGTGAAAGCTGAGGGTGTGCCCATTTGGTTTGGAGGGAGTTTCAAGGTAATTGCTCAATCTTGCTTCTGCCATCCTAATTCAAATTAGCCCTTGGAGCATCTATGACACAGGCTGTCATTAGACATTAGGTTTTATCTACCACAAGGGAAGCACATGAGAGGCAGGTGGCATGAGTGGAGGACACGGGACTCCTGTGGTCCCTAACACAGCTCTGAAGGAGCCTGTTCCCTGCACCCTGAAGGGCTGCCATAGGAAGCAGTGTAGAACAGGTCCAGCCCCAGCCCACCTTTGTCCCTGGCCTACCTTACTGGGCTCTACGTCATCCGTCATGACCCCTGTCATGATGACAGCTTCATCAAGGGAGTACAGCAACCCTTCCACGAAGTGGTTCTCCAACCGCTGGGACTCATGGGTGAATTTTTCACAGATGGCCTCCAAGCCCCGAACTGGCTCAAACCGCAGCTTGACGTACTTCTTGGCAGGGATAATACGGATCTCAGCAGCCACCAGGAAACCCAGGGTCCCACAGGACCAGGGCACAGCATAGAAAAGGTCTGAGTTTTCAGACTGTGAGACAGAATTGGCACGTGATGAGAGCGTGACCTCTAGACATGGCCAAGGACATAGAGCCTGTGCCGGATTCTTGCAGTTGCTATCCTGAGCAATGCACATTATAATGTACATTATAATCAGTACTCAATTTTCCCTCTGCAGTTTCTATTTCATATTTAACCTCCTACTGATGCCTGTATCAGGGATGCTCAGCTAAACAGAATCTGACACCTTTTTACTGAGGCCTAACCCCTGAACCACATGCTACCTGGGAAGGTCATGACCAAAGCTCAGAGGGAGGGAAGAACTAAGGGGCAAGCAGAGGCACCAGTGTAAGCTAAATGAGCTAGATCCCTACTGCAGTCAGGGCAGTCAAGAGGCATGAAAAATGTAGAAATGTCCCTGCCACCCACAGCTGGCACTAAAAGCAACAATGCCTCTCTTGGTTCACTTCGCCTTATTTCAGAGCCTGGCGGGGCACTGCTGGCTTCTGAGGGTTAAGGAGCATGTGGCCTGCCCTCAGTCAAGGTTCACAGGGAAGTCAGCTGTAGCAGCAGAGCTCAGGCAGGGTCTCCCAACTCAGAAGCAGTGGCTCTCCTATAGCCCTGCTCAGCCCTGAACACCTGATCTCTCTGTCCCACACAGACACTGCCTTGTCCACTGGCCATGGTAAATTAGAGTCTTTACATCTCTAAGAGCATTTTTCCAAAAACAATCCAGCCTTGGGCTGGTTTACCAATAGGCCAGTGGTGTACCAGCTCTACTAACCTGCATTGCCTAGGTGGTAGGCAGGACAGGGAGCATGGGGACAGGGGACCAGACAAATAAGTTCTGTGGCACACAGTGGGAGCCTCTGCTACAGCAGAACTCTGTCAACCAATCCCTTCCCCGGGGTGTCCAGGTCCCAAAACTGCACCCTGACTCCACACCAGGAGCCGACACAGCACCTTCCCCCTCCGGCTCATACGGCTGTCAAAGGACGAACGCAGCCTCAGAGAAGCCTTCATCTCCTGTCTCTCCTCAGGTGAGTGCATAGGAAGATGTACTGGACCAATGTGACACACTTCTTGGCTGAGTACAGTGTATTTATCCTAGACCTTGGGCTCTCTTCTGTGAGGCCAAAGCTGTGGTGGCTCTGATGTACCCACCTTGAATCCAGTGACCCAGGTTTAATTTCTAGCTGTGCAAGATTTACTTTCTGTGTGACCTTGGGCAGGTCATTAGCCTCTCTGTACTTGAGTTTCCCATCTGACTCATGGTAACTAGAGTATTCATTCACCTCACAGTTTGTTGGAGGAAATAACATGCATGAAGCACCCTTAACAGTGCCTAAATGCATGTAAGGGGCTGTACATCCCAACAGATGTATTTAAAATGAAGCGCCCAAGGACAGCCACCTCCCTGACACCAGTCTTCCCATCTCTGAACTTACCGGAGTGCAGCGCACAAAGCTGCCATCTGCCAGGATCAGCTCGTATGCGGTGCAGATGTGTTGGAACAGGCCGTACTTGTGCGACGACGACTCGATGCCTGTGCCCATGATCAGGCCCCCTGCAGGGACATGCATGTCAGCAGGGAAATCTGTGGTGTGCAGGGTGGGGCTGGCAGACATGGAGCTGCTAAATTAGGATGTTCCCCATCAACCAATTTGGAGAGTAGGCGTGAGAAGGTGCCCTTGAGGATGGTCTGTGTGTGCATCCACTATAGGAGGAGCTTTCATGAAAGGAGGTTACTGGGTGGCAGGGTGTGTGACCTTTGGGAAGGTGCTGTCCCTGAACAAGCACTTTGGTGGTCACAGACCCTACAGGGAGAAGAACCAAACCTATTCTGTGTGACACCGGCAGAACCGGAGCAATGGACAGTCATGAGGAAGCAGATGGGATTGGAATATCTGAACTGCTCAGAAATGGAGCAAGGCCATTTCTAGCCCAAACAGAAAAGTAGCCATCACAGAGTAGATGTGCTACACGGAGGAGGTCGACGTTCCTCCCCTGTGATACTGGAACCACCCAGCCCTCCTGCCGTGAACAAGGAGTACTCACCCACTGTGAGGTCATCGAGCTCGGGCAACACAGGCAGGGTCCAGCCAATGGAGTTCAGCAAAGCCGTCACCTGACCCATAGACACCAAGGGTTCCACTCGAACAATCTGTGGATGGGACAAGGGAGAGGCTAGGACTGAGGGAAACAGCAAACTCAACGATAATGCCTGCACACAGGGTGACATCTCAGCCTTACCACGCCCTCAGAGATACAGCCGTTATGGCTCTCTCTAGAATACTAGACTGAACTTAATTTTGGTGACTATGACCTCTGGTTCTGAGTCAGCTAGTACTGAGTGCCATCCTCTTGAAGATCTCCTAAGTGTTGGGTATGGCTGCACACACTTGTAATCCCAGCACTTGGGAAGCTGAGGCAGGAGAACTGCCACAAGTTTGAGGCCAGTTAGCAAGATCTTGTCAAAAACCAAACAAAAACAAACCCCAAACAAACAGAATCAAACACAGCAAATGCTTAGTTATTTTTTTCCTAGCTTATAGGAGAAATATTAATTTGGGAACTATAGCAAAAATGAGGAAGAAAACCGCAGTCATCCACACTAGCTCTTCACTCAGCAATCAATGACAAGGAGGAGGCAGATCTGCCTCGCTTGTCCATGCGTCTATGCCGCTCTTTTGTAAGTTTAATACGTATACACAAGTACAAACCCACACATATACACCTGTTTGACTACTAAAAATTTAATACTAGCGGGGGCTGGATAGATGGTCCAGCAGTTGGGAGGACTGGTACTCTTCCAAAGGACCTGGGTTTGGTTACTGGCACCTGCATAGCAGCTCACGACAATCTGTGACTCCAGTTCAAAAGGTGATTTCTCTCGTCAGGCACCAAGCATGCAAGTAATACAAAAACACATATGTAGGCAAAACATCCATATATGTGAAAAAGAAATTAGCATAGAGATTGGGGAGACCACTCAGTGGAAACCACAAGTGCTAGGACAGAAGTTTAGACTCCGAGCACCATGTGGATGTGACAACCTGCCCAGGGCATGAGAGCTAGAGACGGGGGGCTCCTTAGAGTAAGTTGGCTAGTCAGACCTGCCAAATGGACAAGCTCTGGGTTCAAGTGAGCAGCCCTGCCTGGATATATATGGTAGAGAGCAGTTACAGAAGACATGCAACTTGCTGTGGGATATTTGTATACTATGTGAAAATGTATTGCTTTTGCTGCCACAGAAGAAGAAACACTATGAATACCATCAAGATTGATAAAGGTTAGATTCGAACAGGAGAGACCTCTTGATAGGAGAGGTAATAGCTCCTCAAACAGCTTGGTCATTCAATCCAAACTAAATTAATTACACTAACAATGCCTTTCCATTGATCAGATTTGGAAAAAATATTTTTTAATTATTATTAAGAGATAATACTTTTTCAGTAGCCAAAAACGACTTTGTCTTAACAAAGATACAACCTGACAAAAAAAAAAAAAAAAAAAAAAAAAAGGAACTTGCCAAAGGTAGGGTTGGTGCAGGGTTTGTTTTTGTCTTTCCAGGGAGAATAAAAGCATCCAACTAAGGAATCTGAAGACCGCTGGACAAAAGAAGGGAGATTCATCCAGAGAAAATAAAATGTCCTAATGGTACAGCACATTTGTAGCAGGATAAAATTTCGTAAACATTTCCAAATATTTGTTTCCACTGTTCTCTACAGGCAAATGGTCTGTTTGTGGTCCCAATTCAGTTAAAAATCAAAGTGGGCTCTAGAGTCGGAGCATGGATCTCTCCATCTCTAAACCCAAGCATGACTGTTAAAGGAAAATCCAAAATCTCTGTCTCATGTCAGAAGAGTCACCTGACATGGGACAGAAGAAAACCAAAGGGACTATTCTATTATCTCTGAATTTATAAGATTACTATGTAGTAATTACCATATTACTGAACTTCCTGTCATAATACTAATGGTCATATAGAGTACTAATTCTAGAAAAATAGCTTCACCTAGTTTCCTGTACATGATTTCGGGCTTGCGTCTGAATCAGGTAACTAGGAATTAAGTTGCGAACCCCAGATATACTTATTAGATTATGGTCCTCTAACATCTCTGAGATCTGCTGCACATGACATTTAAAATGTTTACGTTTTCTGCAGTGAACCCTAATCATTCTGAACAGTGATCTTTGAAGTCTCTAAAAGGATGATGAGGCCCTACAGTGACAATTCCACCTGGATTTCAGCAATACCACTAACCTGACAAACACTCCCAAAGATCAGCTTTGAACTACAAACTGTACAACAATTTCAAGTCAGTTAACAGAGAGGGTCCATCCTCACAGACTGTTTAGCCAAGACTTTAGATAAACTCTGCCTATACTTTCTCATCACACAGAAACTAAACAAAAAATAATACAGCTAGCGCTCTCCTAGGACTTGACCATTATTATCTCAGGATCCCCTAAGATGCTGTCTTCCCCAGGCAACAGGAAGTAATTTTACTAATACGATGCCCACACACCCAAGAGGGGGGGTGATGGTTTTTGGTTGTTCAGTAGGTTGTGAGTGTCTGTCATCGTTTAGGGGGGTTGGTTACAAATTGTTACTGGTTACAGGAGGGAGGAAACTAAGCAAGGGAGGTTGGATTCAAGGATCTTTTTCTGGGAAAAAAAAGGGGTGGGGATATAGAAAGGATAGGATAAAGGTAGATTATTGAATCTAAACTAAAAAGCAACTATTAAATTTAAAATATTTTACTTTGATATGTATTTTTATATATTGATACAAATTAAAGGTTATTTTGTTAGAACATATTCTAATGCTTCTACTCTTGTTTAAGATACGTTTATATATTGATACAAATTTAAGGTTTTTTTTTGTTATATTGTATATATGTTTCTACTCTTGTTTAAGGTATTATACCTGTGCAGCTCATTTAAAAATGTCATGTATAATTAAAAATTCAGATTAGTAGTTAGTCATCTATAATAATTAAACTTGTAGTCATGTTAGATATGTTTTCAAGGTTAAACAAATATTTTAGGGAGATAGATGGTCTTCAAACACTTCAGAGACCTACAGAATATGGCATTTAAGATGTTTTAATAACCTAAGGCTTTTCATGATTGTTAGACTCATCTGCTCCTGGCAGCACCAATTCACTTCAAAAAGGATGTTGGGCACTGGAGAACCTCCACACAGAGTTTGCTTTTGTTGTGGCAAAGCTAGCTACTGGGCAAGAAACTGCCGCTGCTTTGCTGACAGTATGCTGTCCAATTTGGATGAGTAGGACACAAAAGAAGGCGACTGCTGAATTTTGCTAAGACAAGGTAGGACAGTCTTTCAAAATTCCTGCTTCACAGAAAGGTCTGTCAGATATCCCAGGCCTGTAGGGCAAAGATGGATGCCCCAAAGTTGCAGAGGCCCCTTGGGTGACTGCCTAGGCAGCCAGCTGCTTCTGTTGTTTCTTAGTTTTGTAAGTTGTTTGCTCTGCACTTCCTGATTAATCAGGTAACAATTCCTGAGAAGCGGGGAACAAACAAAGCAAGCTTTGAGATTACCCTCATCTGTCCAGAATGAGCAGGGAGGAGAGAGACCACGGCAGGGCCTGTATCATTAGGATTTGCTAAACCAGAGTTCCAGAGGACCAATCAGAAAAGAGTTTGCAGCAAGAGCATCAGAACAGTGCTGCCCAGAGAGGAATACTTGGAAGAATTGCAAAGGGCATCACGGCACATTCAAACAGGTATATATACACGTGTACAGCTATCTCCTGAGGCTAAGGCCAGGGAACAGAATCATCAGAAAGATTACAGGTCAAGGCACCAGAAGGTCACCTAGGGCAAGGCATAACATTTATTCTCATAAGCCAGCCTGGAAAACTTGACTCATGGAGCCTTAGACAGAGTCCTTAGAATGTCTTGACTCAGTATCAGGATAACAATTAATCCAGATTAAATGGTGCTCTGGTCCCACCTAAGAGAATCAAGACCCAACAGGATCAAATTGTTCCCAAGGAATTTAGCTGCCTCTTGGAAACACAATCTCAAGATATGTAAGAATGCCAATATGCAACACCCACCAGGAAAAGGTCCGAATGTCACAACTGTCCAGTCAGCAGTTACAGGCATGCACAGAGGCAGGAAACTACGGCCCATAATGAAGAGAAAAATCAAGCAAGCCAAACAGATCTAGAACTGACAGACAACAGAAGAGCAATCAGGGGCACCACCTTAATTCTCTATATTCAAATAGTGACATTTGAGGGCCAGTAAGATGGCTCTGTGGATAAGAAAACTTGCAAGCCTGAAGACCTGAGTTTAATCTCCAGAAATTCAGGAAAATAATTGACTTTCAAAAATTATTCTCTGATCTCCACATGCATGCCTCAGCATGTGCATGCACGCGCAGCAGTGTGCGCGCGTGCACACACACGTCCTCACACATACATACATAAATAAACTACAAAAAAATATTAGCAAGACCTGGTGTCTGGAATGAAAGATACAGTGGACTGGGCTAACAGCAAACTAGGAATTACAGAAGAAAAATCAGTGGACTGACATATAGGGCAATGGAAACCATCTACAGTAAAACAGGAGAAATAACTTAAACAATCTGAAGAGGCCTAACACACCCATGGTAGCAGTCTCCAAAGGAGAAAATGGAGAAGGCAGGAAAAAAAATAATAATGCCCCCAAAATTTCTACATTCAGTGAAAAAAAAAAACTAACAAGTTCTAAATCCAAGAATTATGAAAATCGTACCAAAAAACATCACAAAAGATTTATTTTTTTTTTTTAGATTTCTTTGTATTATTTTAAACTATGTGTATGTATGTATCTGGGTACATGTGTGCAGATACTCTTGTAGGCCAGATGCTTTGGGTCCCTAGTCCTGGAGCTACAGGTGGTTGTGAACCCTCTGATGTGGATGCCAGGAACCAAACTTGGGTCCTTTACAGGAACAGCACACAAGCTTAACCGATGAGCTACCTCTTGGGCCCCCATTTTAATTTCCTTTGATTTTTTTTTTTAAAAAATAATTATGTGCACATGTGTGTGTCTGTAGAGCTTAGAAGTCTCCAGTGGTTCCCCTGGAGCTGGAGTTGTAGGTGGGTGATGGGGACTGTACTCTGGTCCTTTGCAAAAACTGTGTAAGCTCTCCAGTTCCAAAGAAAGACCTTGCAGGTTATAGAAAACCCGCATAGAAATGTTCCTGGCCAAAGTGGAAATAGCCTGGATGTCCGCCCACAGCTAAAGGGCTAAACAAATGGATCTATCCATGCAAAGGATATCATTTAGCAGACAGACAGTCCATGCCAGGCACACATGCTTCAATATGAATGCATTTTAAAAATAATCACTAGGGAACCCAGACCAAAAAAAGTATGCACTAAATGAGTCCTTTCATTAATCTCCAAAGTCTGGCATTCATTTATAACAACAGAAGCAGAACACTGTTAACCCAAGGCTGTGGGTGGAACAGGTAGGGAGGTGGTTTAAGGGAAAGAATTAGTAAGAGCTATGAGCAAACTTTTAAGGCTGTCAGGTAAGCTCTGTGTTTTAATAATGGTGTCTCTGGTGCAATGCTGTCAAAATTTATTACCCAATTGCACAGCTTAAATAGATACAGTTTATTGTATGCCAGGTACACATCAATAAAGCTGTCTTAGAGAAGGCATAGGAGTACATGTACTCTGGCCAGGGTCTCACAGTGATGAAATGCCATCAAGTGGACACATTATATCCAATGGCTCTCTTGTTGCTGGATATTGCATTGTTCTATTAGAAATGAAAATATAATCAAAATCTGTGTATTGGGGATCTTTGATTACATACACATAAGCTTAATTCCCTTTTCCTTAAGGTATATTTTGAGAAGGAGAATGATGACATGTTGTCTTCACTAAAGTGCCCAGAAGCATTAAAAAGGAGAATTAGTAGATGGGCCAAAGAGTACATATTTCTGGGCAAGTTCCCCTTTCCCGACTGCCTCTCCCACACACACACCCTTTTTCCACCAGCATACTTTCTTATGAGGAAGGAGGAAAGAAGGTTCTCTTTTGTCATTCACGTTTGCCTATGATTTCTCCATCCCTAATTTTTTATAGAACTAAAACGATCAAAAGATTCCTTGGAGTTCTCAAGGACTTGCATGATTGTCTATGGCCAGTCTTTCCTCCCAGTGGCTGTGATGCTTTGGAGGACAACAGTGGCAGGTAGAGCTAGCTAGTAACAACCTGAGCTATTGGCAGGGCATTTATAATTAATATAAGCCTCCATGTGTTTATTTGAGAACAAGTATGGGACAGAAGAACTCTGTCTACATAGAGACTTTACTGACGGCCTTGGTCCTGTCCACTCTGGGATATCCTTGACGGAACTCATTTCCCCGTGAGTCGCTCACACTAAGGGTGTCCACCTGCTCCCAGAGCCAGGATACAGCACGTGCTCACTTGGTTGTTTCTCCACCCCCCCCCCCCTTTGGGGAGAGAGGCAGTACTGGGAATTGAACCCAGGGCTCTGTGAATGCTCTACCACTGAATTCCAACCCCAGCCCTCTCACCTGCTTCTTGGTGTCCACTTCCAGAATGTCCATCAGATTGATCATGATGTTCTTGTGTGTCTTCTTGTATTTCCCAACCCGCAGTGAGACGGTGAGCCAGCCAGGACGCCCCGTGCACATGAAGGTCTTGCTGCCCTGTTCCTTCCATTCTCGTACCTGCAACCAGAAGCTGAGACTCAGCCGACTCCATCTGGGACCCCAGAGCAGCTCACAGGCCCTCCTTCAGAAGGGAGCTGGGAAAGATGCCTTTACTCGGGCACTTTTGGGGAGGGTGGTGAAACCCTGAGAAGAGCCTTACTCTGTAGAGTCTCCATGGCTCACAGGACCAACAGAAGAGACAAATGTGTTGCTACTGCACAAGGAAGGATAAATAACTTGTCTAAGATCATACAACCCATGATTGGCAGATTCATAGCCAGGACTGGACAGCCACAGAGCAGGGAAGACAGATGGGCTTAGTCCGTAGAGGTACTTAGGCAGCATATTCTGTGCCAGACCCTGTTGCCAGCATCCACACATGCTAACTCATGTACCACTCTGGCCAGGAGCAGCCAGCCAATGGGCAGTAAGACTTTGGTAAAACCTCCATGCCAGAGAAGGCAAGGTGCAGAGGACGGCACGCTGGGGAGGAATAAAGAAGTATCTTGTCCCAGCAGGCAGACAAGGCAGGCACACTGCATGGCTGTGGTTAAGGCATCCAAGGACCGTCCATTTCCTCTTCATCTGCTTCTAGAATTCCTCTTCCCTCCACCCAGGTGAGGCTGATTCCATGGCGCGGGCCACTGGACAGTTTTAGGAACAGGACTGTGATCCCAGGAGTCAAACCACTGAGTCTGGTTCCAGGAAGGGCATGCTCTCTTTACTGAGGTAGGGCCAACAGTGACTGAATCTAAACCAGAAACCGTGGGACGCTCCACAGGAAAATAGCATCCCATGAGGATGAAGTCAACTCAGGGGAAAAAAGAGCCAAGAGGCAAGATGGAGATAAACGGGAGAGAGGGTCCTGGATTTAGTCACATCTCAGCCAGCTGTACTGCTGGATCTTTCGGGACACAGCGCATGCGCCTTCTTTTACTCAAGGCAGCTTCAAAGTTTTGCACGAGTCCTGTCAAGGGTCAGACTTCTGGGGAAGCTGCCCTGGAGGTGTTGGACAGAGGGCTCAGGATGGGAAGGGCTTGCAGTCTGGCAGAAGGGCACCACTATGAGTGGGCGGAGAAAAGACAAAAGGTGAATTCCATGACCACCCAGCTCTGCCTGACTCTGTGGAAAGGGAATGTGAATGACTGGAGTAGGGTGCTGCAGGACAGTAGGTCACACAGGTAGACACTATCAAGCCTGGAACATCGATTGGATTTGGGGTAAAGAAGCAAAGCCCCCCATAAACATCCTTTGTCAAATTCTCAAGAGAGACAGGAAGGGTCTAGTAAGTAGGTAACAACTCAGGCAGCGATGGTAAGAAGCCAGGTATGAGGCAACCAAGCCAGAACCATGGGATGGGATGGAAAGGATGGGGTTAAGGGAGTCGAAAGTTCAGGCTCTTTATCCCAAGCCAATGTTGAGCCTCTGCCCTATTTACCAGTCATGTTCTCCTGCAAGACTCACAACTTGAACCTAATTTTAGTGAAATGGGTCCCAGACATCAATCAGGTGACCGTGGACTGTAAATCCCAGACATGAAAGGCACAAGGAATGGCCTGTTGTCCACTGTTTCCTGTTCACGGCATATCCTTCCATTTAGTTTATGTTAACAAGCACTCACTAATATACTCTGGCCCCAAGGGGAGCTGTCAGATAACAGGGCTATTGTCTTCAGGAGCTCACAACCTGACCAGGGCATTCAGCAGGTGAATGCGGAATCTGAACCCACAGAAAGATCTAGGAAGGGAAAGAGCAGGTGGCGGGGGAGGTCAGCAGAACTGTGGGGCTTCGACTGTGAGCTCCAAAGCCCAGGGTGGCAGTGCAAAGCGTTTCTGACCACAGCACCCTCTGCACACTCTTCTCAAACTTCTTCAGGTCTGGAGGTCAGTCTGCCTGCACCTTCAGGCTCAGCCTGCAGCATACAGCATGAAGTAAATAGAACAAGAGGGTGGCTACCATGAGGGCGGCAGCAGCAAGCAGATGCTCTCTGAAGCTGATGCCAGTTAGAGAATTATAAGGAGGGGCAGAGGGAGCCCATGCCAGTCCTGGATGGATGGGGGGGAAGAAGGCTTCACTGTGAAGAAGTCTCAGTCTAGGTGTCGCTAGTCTATGCGAACTCATCATCTACTTACTGGGAGAAGGACAACTACCTCTGGGTACAGAGTGCCTGCACTGAGCAGAGTCTGAGGCTACTCATGTGGTTGGGGGCTGGATCCCACCTTCTCTCTTTAGTCCTTTATTCTAAAGGCGTCCAAAGCACCTCGGTCCGCAAAACAAACTTTCACCTCTTCCCTGCCATAATGCTCCTTTCCCAACTGACTTTCTAACCTTCCTCTCAGTACCAGGGCTCCTCAGCTTCCCTACCTTTGCTCAACCAATCTCTCCACTCGAATCATCTCCCAGCACCACCGCCCTGAGGCCATTCCTGCTCTGGAATGCAGGGCCTGATGAGTTACCTGACTGCGGCCGACCACTCGAAGGTTTGGAGTCCCTCGTTTTCCAGGTACTGCGTATGCCCTACACCTAGCGGACACTCCATAAGCCTCCGAGCAAGGTTCTGCTGTTTGTCCCAGTGCTTTTGCTGGTTCCATTTCATCCCCTGGGCAGTCCCTTCCCCCATCACACGCGGGGTCCTTCGCGATCCTCCTCCCACACCCTCTCTTCAGGCCCGGCACACCACTCCGCCGCCCAGCGGACCGCTAGCCCGGCGCATAGCCGCGCCCCGCACCGCTCACCTGCTTCTGGATGTCCCGCACGCGCTGCTCGTGCAGGCGCGGCGCGCTGCTCAGCTTGAACACCACCCAGGCACGCACGTAGTAGTAGATGTCGAAGATGAGCGAGAGCGGCAGCAGGAAGAGGCACACGAATACCCAGCGCTGGTGGATGAGCACGAACTCCAGTCCCTTCACTCGCACCCAGAGCAGAAACAGCAGTGCGCACACGGCCAGCGACACGGCGGGCTCCATGGTGTCGCGGCGCGGCGCGCAGAAGGGTGCGGGCTCGCGCCGCGGGTCACGGCAGCCTGCTGCACGACCCGCCGGCTCAGAGGCTGCTGCCGCCGCCGCCCGGGGAGCCTGTAAGTCGGGCCCGCCGCCTCGCGATTGGCTTGGGTCGCCAAGGTTCGGTGGGCCGAGACCCAGGCGACGACCAATGGTGAGCCGCGCCGGGGATCGGACCAGGGAACCGCTGCGTTTATTGGCTGCAAGAGCAAGGTTGCTCCACCCTCTTTTCCTAGCCGGCACGCGAGGAGGGGCTGACCCGGGCTGGGGGCGCTCGTAGGGTCGGCCTGCGGCTGGGTTGGCGGGACGCAGGGTTTCCGCCCTGAAGGCTGCAGGGCCACCCTGATCTCTGTCCCCTTAGGTGGCGCCTCCGGCGGACACAGGTCAAGCAGTTGTGCTTTGGGTTACCTCCCAAGGGTGGGAGGCGCTCCAGACAACCACCCAGCAGCCCTGGCAGGAAAGTCCCCTGGCCTTGACCTGGGCAGGTCCTGTTACTCCATATGCATAAGACACATCTTTTCAATTTTCAAGGCGTTTACCATAAATGCATTTGAAGTACCCCCTTAGGAGTTCTGGCCCGTGGGTAGTTGGGATCCCCATTTTAAACACGATGGGGCATGAATTCCACCTGTCGAGCAATTTAAAAGCACAGAGGTGACGGTGGCATTCTTCCATGCTGAGGCCAAAGTGGATGGAGGCCTGGAGACAGAAAAAAGGGCTTCAAGGACACCGCAGCCCCGGAGTAAGAGTGAGAACGAGTGCATGGTCCTGGCTTTGCAGAGCAGTCAGGCCCAGGCTATGAACAGACTCTGACCTCGCCAAAAGCTTAAGCCTAGTGGCATCTGCATTTTCCCCCCAACAGAAGGAAGCTTTGGAGAATCTTTTTCAAACCCGTTGTCACATACCAGGCCCTTCTCTGCCTTGTACGTCTTTTCCTGATTCCCTCCCTTTTCACCTTTGCCCCCTACCCTGTCATTCTTTATGGCGATGCCTTTGGTGAATCTTGTCTCTAGAATGCCCTTCCCCATCCTGGGCTAAAACAGTACACAGCCTGGAGGTCCCTCGGTGCCACCTCTAAAGCCACATTTATGTACCTCCTTCAGAGGCTCACAGTCTTTCCATTTTTGTATAATTGTCCCTTTGTGTGGCTCTCACTCCTACAGGTTAATCTTTGGGGCAAACAACACCTTGTTAATACATCACTTTTGTATTTCACGTTTGTAGCATAATGATCAGGACATTGTAGACATACCAGTGTATTGACCAATGGATAAATGAAGAATGTAGGTGGGAGTTTGGAGAGCCAATTGCAATTAAAGTTCAAAGTGAGGGGTGTTTGCTTTGAAAGGGAGCAGCCCAGGCCTGAACTGTCTTTCCCAACTATGACAGCTGTTGAAGAGCTATCAGTAGCTTGTCTAAATTTAACTGTCCTTTAAATGTGTAACACATATTCATAATACTCATATTAATTTTTGTCAAAGTAATAGCATTATTTTGGGTTAATATTAACATTTTAAATTGTTTTATTTCTTAGTGTGTGCAGGTATAAAGTTCATGCTTCTGTGTGTGTGTGTGTGTGTGCAGGTATAAAGTTCATGCTTGTGTGTGTGTGTGTGTGTGTGTGTGTGTGTGTAGACCAGAGTCCAATGTTGACTGTCATTCTCAACTACTCTTCATCTTCCTTTTTGAGGCAGCGACAAGCTCTGAACCTGGAGCTGGCTAGGCTGGTGGGCCAGCAAGTCATCTACCTGTTTGCCTTGCCAGCACTGGGATTTCAGGTGCACACAGACACACTGAGCTTTGGGAAAAAGTATTTTAAAATTTTTGTGTGTACATGTTTATATGTGCATGCTTGCATGAGTTCATGTGTGCCACAAGTACAGGATCTTGTGAAGGTCAGAAGAAGGTGTTAAATCCCCTGGAACAGGAGTTACAGTCCAGAGCTGCCATGTGGGTTCTGGGATTGACTGCTGAGCCATCTCTCCTGCCCCCAACGCTTGGCTTTTGAGATGGATGCTGGGGACTTGAACTCGGGTCCTCATGCTTGCATGACAAGCTCTTTACTGAGTGAACCATATCCTATTTCATGTTTTAAAGGTAGTTCCTAGAAAATTAAAAAAAGGCAGGTTTGTGTGATGCTGTATACCTAGAAGCTACAGTCCAGAGAGGCTGTCAGAGGAGAGAGTGTGTGACAGTGTCTCACCCTGGACTTGTCCGAAGCAGGGGTTCAAGTCAATACAGCACTTTGAAAGTTAGGTGTTCTGAGAAAAGTTCAGGTATACTGTAGTCTGGACAGCAAGTTTAACTTACAAATTAACTAGCGTTGAGCATTTTGTAGGATAACCTGAAAATTATTAATTAGGATAGTTTTATCCTTGGGAAGAGAGGAAGGAAGCCCATAAAAGTAGACTTTAAAAATTCGTTTTTGGGAACAGCTGTCAAATAAAAACAATGTTCTTGTCCTCAGAGCAGTTGCTTACGTTACTCTCCTTCCTGCTTGCCTCCTTGAGCTTGTGATTCTTTCTTTCTCCCTCTAAAGCGCTAACCCTTTGGGTTGCTGTCTAAACAAAAACAGTCACCTCCCCCCAAACCCCAGCTTGGCTGTGGCTGTTAATCCATGCTTTAAGTGAATGTGCAGTAAGACAGCTTACCTTAGCATGTTAGGCTTCCCACAATTATCACACAAGGAGAGTACAGAAAGTTCCTGACACCCCAAAACCGCCTTCCTGCTGCCTCTTTGAAATTATAGTCTCCTTTCCATGAGCTCCTGGCATTACCTCTCTGATTGCAGTCACACACGGAGAGACCCCAAAGGTCATAGAAATGACATCATAGAAGAAATAACCTTGAGCCAATTATTATTTTTTCCTAGAGCCAAAGTGAGTGCCTTAAGCAGGCATCTCCTCATAACTTTACATTAGTTACAGAGTTGACGAAGCATGTAAACAGGGTCAACCAGAATATGGGAGTAGGCGCTTTGGGTATCAACTTCACAGGTTAACCAGAAATTAAGAACAACACCACATAACACTCTTCCTAACAAGCAATTCTTTGTTTCTTTTCCTAATAAATACAGCCTAATCAATGCAGTTCCCCACCCCTTCCCCCCCAATTAACTAGTTTAATAAATACCAGAGTCCTGGTATTTCTTGGATATATGTATACAGTACAATTTCTCAGATCATTTGGTCTTTACAACCAGCTCAAGGGGTTGTTCTAAGTAAATGGAGACATTCAGACTCTGAGAAGTTAAGAAATTTGCTATTGTCTTATTCTGGCAAATGGTCAAGCTGGAGTATTGTTCTCATGGTCTGGATCTCTCCAGCACTTGCCTTCTCCCTTGGTTAGGTGAACTATCAGTTCCCGTGGCATTTGAATGGGGCTTCCTTGATGTGTGGCTTGAAGACTAGTCACATAAGAACACTTGCTAAATTGTACTTTGGACTGTTACAGCTCACTTGACTCTAACCCTCCAGCAATGACCTCCCTTCATAACTTAGATCCCCTTTCCTCCCTCTCTCTTTCTCTCTCCCCCTTCCTTCCATCCTTCCTTCCTTCCTTCCTTTTTTCTTTTTGGTTATGAAAATCAAACATAGGGCTTTTGTGTGCTAGGCATGTACTCTACCATCGAGCTATATCCCCAGCCCCTTAGTAAGAACACTAATTACATTAGTTCTCTTCCTCCCTGACCTCCTCCTTCTCTCCCTCTTCTTTCTCCTTCTATATTCAAGGTCAGTATTGATTTAACTATAACACCAATTACTGGTGAGAGTTTAATATTTTCCCTAATTTCCAAATACTTACTGGTTTGCTAACCCAGATCACCACCAACAGCTCTATCTCAGAACTATGTAGAGAACGCCACCATCTTCATCTATGTCTTACAGAGAAAGAGGAAGAAGGCTGAGGAGACTAGAAGAGGAGAGGAAGAGTCAAGTGTTGGTAGCAAACTCCTTTAATACAAGCAAGCACTTGGGGGGCACAGTCAGGTGGATCTCTGTGAGTTTGAAGTCAGCCTGGTCTACAGAATGAGTTCCAGGACAGTCAAGACTACACAAGAAGCCTGTCTCAAAAAGAAAAAGGAGAAGGGCTGGGCATGGTGGTACACGCCTATAATCCCAGCAGTGAATGCTCATGCTCGGTTCTAGGTCTCCTTTTTATACCAGCATCCTAGCTCTGGGAATGGTACCACCCACAGTGGATGGGTATTTCCAGCCCAGTTAAGATAATATCCCCCACAGGCATGTCCAGAGACGCTTAGCTGATTCCAGATCTTATCATTTTGGCAATTGAGATCATCCATCACATTGTACATTCAGTTTCAGCTTCCTACAAGTTGAGCTGGGCCCTAAGTGGAAGGACTCAGTCTGTCCAAAGACCACTCATGGATCAATGGAGGAGGCATGAGGCCAAGTTACAAAGCCGAACCACTGGTAGCATGACAAAACTTAGGACAAATATAACCTTCACCAAAAATGCTGGGAATGGCACACACCTACTCATAATCACATAAGATAATAATCTGTTCCCCCCAAATATAGAAAGTGCTTGCTTTGTGTCTGACTGGCCAAGACAAGAGGAATGGGCACCTTGTTACCTTGTTGTAAGGCACATTCTACTAGTAAATTGTCATGTGCTGTTGGAGCTCCCTGAGAAGCTGGCTCTAGAAGTAGGATTGTCCCCATACCCCACATTTCAGAATCAAGAATATTTGTCTCAAACTGTCCATCTAGGTCCCTAGTCTGGGGATGGGTTGCCTCCTAACTTTGTGATGCGTGAAAAGAAGGATCAAACAACCCTAGAATAAAAACATGATCCTTGAGAACAGCTGGAAGATAAGGCACTTCCAACAGAGGTACCACTGTTTATCCCATGATCTTAAAACACTGACAGTGGAGGAGAAGCTGGAAGTTCAGTCCTGGGAAGCTTGGCCACAGAGAAAAAGCCCAAACAAGAACTCTGACTCAACTTTCCCAGGAATTTTCTGCTGGATATTGTGAGTCGGCTTGATGGTGTATCATTAGTAGTTGCCATAGATATGTTCTTCCTCATCCTCTAAGTTCAG